CAGATATCTGCGAGAATCAAGAATTCCAGCAGATCTTAAATACTTCTCTGACTTTGCCCTGGCATGGGTATTCTCATGGCAATACAGATATGGCAAGACAGAGAATGAAGACACTCTCCCTCTATTGCATAGGTATTCCTTTGTAAAGTGGTGGAATCAATTCAATGCAGATCATGCCGGACCAGAAGGAGTTGCTGAATATTTTGGGAAAAATCCCAAATTATTAAATCTTGCTGACCCAGCAACATTTCAATTCCTTAATCAGAAATCCAAAATTGCAGCATTCTTATCAGGATGCGACACCAAAGAAAAAATGAAGAAAAATCTTCAAGATGTTCTCCTGTTATTGCAAAGCCAAGAAGAAGGAGAAACTTCTAACCAAGATGCCAATATTGAAGATAATCAGAATGAAGATGATTGTTTCGGTATTGATATCCAAGATCTTTAGTAACCGGTACTATAGTGAATAGTTCCAGTCACCAACCGGAACTGTAGAAATAGTACTCGTCTATTTTCATTTATATCATAAGCATTAATACTTATATGTATCATCGTATTTGTATATTTGTAAGCAAATATGTTAACTAATAATTAAAATAATTGTGGTAAACATATTAATGAATTTGATTAATTATTTTTAAAATTTTAAAAAATTTAGTAAATAGTTACTAAAGATACATAAAAAAAATTATAATTTTTATCTTTTAAGTTTAAGTGAAATTTAGATTTAGTTCTTTAACTTTTTTTTATTTAATTTAGTTTTTTATGTTTAGTTTATCTTGGTAAAACCTCTATGTTTAATTTAAGTTTTACTTTAGTCTCCGAAATGTTAAAATATTTTGATTTATTTCTTGTTGTCAACTTTCCTTCTATAAGTGTTGGCTGACAAAAATTAACTCAGTACTCTCATATTACTTAAATTTTTAAATATTTAAAGTTTAATTATGTTTTTGGTACCTCTAAATGTAGCACGTTATAGCTCACTCACTATGCTTACAACTTTGCCATACTAAACTCGCTCGTGCTATACTATTTGATTTTATGATAAATTCTTGTAAAATTTTTTGTTAGGATCTAATCTTTGTCATCAATTCTTCTTTTATTAAATGCTGAGTTAGGTCAGATTTCTTGATTACGACTAATTATAGCTAAAGTTTTATTAAAAAGCGTTTTCACGTGGTAGAACCTCTTTAGGGAATATAAGGTTTTCATGAGGCTGATATTGAATTGCCATCCACGCACGAATACATTTGTTTAAGAAAATTTTTTTGTGTAAAAAGTCTCAAATTCAAAATTTTTTGCTGCTCCAATTTCTTGAGAAATGAAGTCATAGGCACGTAGGTTCAAGGCTAGACCGACTACTCCAAGAGCACTTATCAATAAATCAATTACTAATACAGATAACATAAAGATATGTAATCAACGTTTATTGAAAAAGCAACCTTTGGGACCAAAACAGTTAGAACAATTAGCAGTGACCATGGAATAAGTTTCTTAAGCTTGGATTGGGTTTGAGAGCTAGCTTATCACTACTATGTATTGCCACATTATTTAATTTTTAATATTTTATTATTTAAAATTAATATTTATAAACAAGTGTTTGATATATTTTAAATATTTATAAAAAATTCATCTAGAACCTTAATTCTCTTCCCTTTTGGTGCCTTTTTATCCTTCTCCCTTGTTTTTATTGGTTTCAAGTGCTCCACCAGCAAGTTTTATGCACACACACACACACACACACATATATATATATATATATATATATAGAGAGAGAGAGAGAGAGAGAGAGAGATTCTCATCAAGATTCTTAACAAGATGTAGTTCTTCAGTCCACTACCAAAATGATTGTTGAAATCTTAAGAATAAAGGGAGAAGGAGACATAGGAGAGAAGAAAAAAAGGCTAAGGGATTAAAGTTTCAAGGGACTTTTTTTATAAATATATAAAATATATTTAGGAATATGTTTTGCAAATATTAATTTAAAATAACAAAATATTAGAAATTTAAATAACGTGACATTAACGTGGTAGTGGTGTGTTGATTCTCTAGTGAGTCAATTCAACAATTAATAGAAAGAGAGTTCACAACAAGAACTAAATATTAACAAAAGAAATAAAATATAAAAATTCATCACAAAATGTGCAACATTTATAGAGATCAAAAGCCTAAACTATTTAAAAAATTAAATGACAAGTCAATGATGTGGAAGTGCTAGAGTGACTCTCCATCATCCACAACTTAACACTTAACAAAGAAAAAATTAACGACAATGATTAAATCCTAACATATTAATATTTTAGAGACTAAACTTATTACAAAATTACTATATTTATAAGGATAAAAATTGTATTTAAGCCAAATTTAATTAAGGATGATGGATTGACAATGATTGTTATATATTTATAATGGAGAGAAAAAATAAGTAGTCTATTAAAAGTAAATAAAATTTTTTTGTGGTAATTTGAAAATTTGAGACAATAATCTAAGTAAAATCAATAGAAAATAAAAAATAATTGTTGTTTAAAAGTATATCAATTTAAAATATTTGATTAAGTTAAAAGAAAAATAAAGATAAAGGATTATTTTGCTTTAAAAATTTAAAATTAAAATTAAATAATTATACATTTAATTCATTACTAATATCATATTTTAAGTAAATATATAAAAAATAATTTTTTAATGTATATCCAAAAAGAAACATGTTAAGAAATCAAAGTAAAAAAACTTTTATTAAAATATGTAATATTTAATATTATTAATGCATTAAATTTTATGATATCTTATTATTTTGTTTAAACATGTTTTTGGTTCATGTAAAAATACTCCATTTGTAAAAAGTTTAATATTTTTATGTTAAAATTTAGTTCTGATTTATTTAAAATATTAAAATTTAATTTTTATCGCTAATTTCTCTGTTCAATAATGAACTGGATAATGAAGATTTAGTTTATTATTATCACATTGTTAATTTTTTAATATTTTATTATTTAAAGTTAATATTTACAAATAAATCTTAAAATACATTTGAAATATTTATAAAAAAAGTTTATTATTTTAATCCTGTGCTCTTTGAGGAGAGCCTTATAAACTAGACATTCTTGCAATTGGTAGTAAAAGTGAAGTAATTTATAAAAGTAAGGAAAAAAAATAAACAGGCAAAATAATTATTGGATCATGTGCTAATTCAAAGTAGATGTTATATTTTGCATCATTATTATTTTTATTATTCTTAGAGTAAGAATGATTTTGGGATGACTTGCTTGTTAATTCCCTAAACCTACTTGCTATATACAAAATCCTAACATTCATATGCTTATTCAGTTATCTATAATACGTAATAATGAGCTTTCATATCCTACTTTCACACACACATACTTTAGAATAAATAGAATTAATATTTTATCTATGATATTCATCGATAAAAAAAATAGTACGCACGTTAGAGTATATATAATTTCCTTTTTAAAAATATTTTTAGTTTTTAAAAATAAAACATTTTATTTTTAAAAACTAAATAATATTAAAAAAATAAAATCAAACATCTCTGAGCATGGGTTTTCCTCTGTTGTATCCAAAGACGTCACCGTCAACTCTCAAAATGGTGTTTCCCTCCGTCTCTACCTCCCTCTATACATCGCTGCCTCCTCCCACAAACTCCCCCTCCTCATCTACATCCACGTCCATGCCTTCTGCATTTGCACCCCCTCTTCAACGCTGCCTACCACCGCCACTTGAACGCCGTTGCCGCCTAAGCCAACGTTGCATTGCATCCGTCCACTATTGTCTGGCCTTTGAACACCCTCTCCCCATTTGTTACGACGACACCTAGGAAGCCATCCAATGAACCTCCTCCCATGTCGCCGACAACGACCACGCTGATCTTGGAGTGATGTTCTTGGCTGGCGACGATGCCAGCGGAAACATCACCTATAACATGGCAATGCGAGGCATTGTTGAAAAGTTTCAGATATTTGAAGCTTGAAGGAATGGTGTTGATTCACCTTTATTTCATGAATGAGAAGAAGAACGAGCTAGTGGAGCTTTTTTACCCAAGTTTTGGAGAATGACCCGAAGATCCACGTTACAAAGGATCCAAATTTTCCATGTCTTAGATGCCTGAGAGTGTTGGTTTTTCTTTTGAAGAAGGATTTTATGAGGGAAATAGGACTGAGCTATTATGAGGCGCAGAAGAATAGTGAGTGAGTGGAGGGGTGTGATTGAGATGGTGGAGTTATAAGGAGAGAAGCACGTGTTTCATTTCTTCCCCATATTTAAAATTTTATTTTTAAATATTATTTTTAAATAATATGGTAATGATGAGTTGAATTTTCTTTGTATATATCATTACTTAGCACGTAGAAGTTAATAATAAAGACTAGATTCTAATCGTTTAATAAGTTAAAAATTAAATATTAATAAAAAAAATTCAAAGACTTAGATGCTAATTTAATAAAGATAAAAACATAATTAAACCTATTATTCTTAATAAACTTATTATATATAAATATTTATTGTATGTGCATACATATATGATAAAAAAATCATATAAAAAATAATTAATCAAATATTAAAGTTATTATTAACCATAATAAAATTCAATTTAATACTTTTTTTTTTGAAAAATTACATGAGAATTATCTTGTCAACAAAATTTTACCTACATGTACAATTAAAATTAAACCCTCATCAATATACTTAAGAGGAAGATACTCATACAATTATCTACTAAATATATCGGATTTTATTTGTATAAATCTATCTAATAATCTAGTCTAGTAATAATAATAGTTGTTGGGGAGTTAGTTACTTGTTTCCACAGCAGAGAGGGGACAGAGCAAGCGGGAAAGCAACACTGACCGTTCGATAAATATGGAGCACGAGAACGCGTTGCAGTATGAGCCGTTGGATTTGGGGGGGTGAAAACGGGGAAACGAAACGAGGCTTTAAGCCTTTAAGTAGAGAAGAGAGAAGGAGCGTGCGATCTCACCCTGTGACCATTCTCTCTCTCTCGCTGTGTTAAGGTTAAGCAAAAGCGAGCGTCGAAACGATGAAAGGTGTTGATGGCGTTGTTGTTAGGGTTTGAACCACATTGCATTTGCGTGCTCCTTATAGACAACCAGGTTCTCAATTGGACTCTTCGTTAGGGTTTCGCGCTTTTTCTTTTTCTTCCATCGCCCCCATTCTCTTTCGAGATCTAGGGTTTATGCTTCCCATATTCTTTGCGCCATTTTGTTTCCTTTTCAGCGATTGTTTCAATTTTTGTGCTCGATTTGAATTTTGAGGCTTACATTGCTCACTTGGCTGTGCGCAATAACGATTTTGAGGAGTCTTGCGTTTCTTGCATTCGATTACTCGTCGCCATAAATTGATGATTGCTATTGTGCCGTGAAAGCGGAAAATACTGTTAGTCGCTTAAATATTCAACATTTTTTTGATAGAAAGCGAATTCTGAACGATATAAGTGAAATAAGTTGATAGGGTATGAGAGAGGGACACCCGTCACTGGGTTTTATGATATTTTGCTTTAAAATTTGGAGGATAAGGCTTGATTTGTGCTTCTGGGAATTGGGGTTTTTTCAGAGATTGCTGTGCGGGAGCATAACTTGTTGTTAGAGTTGATATGTGCGGTTGTTGGAATTTTATCTTATGGCACCAACTGTACCTATAGAGTTTGCTGGACAGAAGGAATCCAGAAAGTACTCTCATTCACAAATCATGGGGAAATCTAGGAAATACTCCAAAGGTAATGCGACTGGCTTTGTTCCTGATTTCCGTCATGCTGTAGAGACTATGGGTGAATCGGAAGGTTTGGGTAGCTTGGGAAGGGTTGATACAGAGTTGACAGCATCGGCAGATTCATGTGCACCAAAGAGGAAATGCCTTGGTATGAATGCTAGTGGTTATGGTAGTTTTGATGTGCCGTATCAGCATTTCTCACTGTTGAAGATGTCGAGTTTTGAGAGAAGGGATTTGAAACTGAGGTTAACTTGGGAACTTGAGCAAGTAAGGGAATTTCAGAAGAAAATAGACAGTATAAACCCAAACATTGTTGGATTGTCTCCCTCTAGTGACATAAAGAGCTGCAGTGCTGGACAGAAGAGGCCTAAGCTGGAGAGCCAGCACAAGACGCAGGAAGTATCAGTGCCACATGGTAAGAAAAGGCCCTTGCCAGGGCATAATGGTTCCAAGACAAAGAGAAGTGTGTCTGGGCGATTTGAAAATGTGAAAGCTGCTGCACCTGTGTCTTCATATGCTGCATTGATGAAGCCCTGTGAGACATTACTGAGTCGTGTAATGTCTCACCAATTTGGTTGGGTTTTTAACACTCCTGTTGATGTTGTTAAATTGAACATTCCAGATTATTTCAATGTTATCAAGCATCCAATGGATTTGGGTACTGTGAAGAGTAGAATAACTTCTGGTGAATATTTGAATCCCATGGATTTTGCTGCCGATGTGCGGTTGACTTTCTCAAATGCGATGACTTATAATCCACCTGGTAACGATGTACACATCATGGCAGACACCCTTAGCAAATTTTTTGAAACAAGATGGAAGGCCATAGGGAAAAAAATTCCTGTCATTGATTGTGTCCCATCTGAGCCTTTAAGACCTACACGGGTGGAAATGGAAATTTCTGACAGAATTCCTCCCACAAAAAAGAAGAAGTTAACACCAAATGATGCTAAAGTGAAGCCTGAGCCTGTTAAAAGAACCATGACTGTTGAGGAGAAGCATAAATTGAGTCTAGAGTTGGAGGCAATGCTTGGAGAGCTGCCTGAAATCATTGTTGATTTCTTGAGAGAGCAAAGTTATAATGCAGGGCAAACCAATGATGATGAAATTGAGATTGATATTGATGCTCTTAGTGATGATACCTTGTTCAAACTGCGGAAGCTTCTTGATGATTATATGCTGGAGAAGCAAAGATTTCAGGCGAAAGCTCGACAGTGTGAAACAGAGGTCTGTCTTTCTCTGTGTGTGTGTCTGTGTTTGCATGTATTTATGTGTGTGTGACATCCAATTGTCAAATTTATGTGATATTTTCATGATGATCCTTCACGTCAAATTTGAGATAATTTTATATTCATATGTATTTAATTGATTAGTTGATGCTGACATTTATTTTAAAAACACATGATACATCAGCTTAAAGTGGATTGATTAGTTTGTAAATTCTGTCAAGTTTAATGATTTTGATCTGGCTTATGATAACGTTCAATCTAACATTTGATTGATGAAATTTGAGGTTAAAAAAAATACATCATGGAGTGTTTTAAGAGTCTTACACAGGATAAGCAGATCGGAGGATCCCCACTATAAATTGTGTGCGCGTGCTGAACTATTATTATGTGCATGTCTATGAATCATCTAAGATGTGTATATCATTTTGACTGACAGTTTTTTACTTGCTTGATTTTTATGCAGCTCCTGAATGAATCAGGGTTCAGCAATTCATCAATGCAACCATGTAAAGGTATTTTCTATTTTCTGTTCTGAGCTTTTATGTATCCTTGTTGTATAAATAACTGACACTAATTTTGATCCTGCAAATGCAGGCAACGAACATGTTGAGGAGGATGTGGACATTGTTGGTGGGAATGATCCTCCTATTTCGAATTATCCTCCATTAGAGATTGAAAAAGATGGTACCAATAGAAATAGTAAATGCAGTAGTTCAAGTAGCTCCAGCAGTGAATCTGGCTCTTCATCCAGTGGTTCGTGTTAGTGCACACTTGACATTTTTTGTGTTTCAGTATATGTTTTTCTTTAAAGAGAATTCAGTTGGAAATGGCCACTCTGCTTGATTTGCTAATGGTTGCAAAATTAATCACTTGAAAATGAATTCTTTATGTTGCAATCGGTTATTCTTGTCTGACTCATGCAATTGTGGAACAGCAGATTCAGACTCAGGTAGTTCATCTGGTAGTGAGTTGGATGTGGCTAAAGCATCAGAACCTCTTAGTGCTACCAAGGTAATTGGGATATGGAGTATTAGATGTCATGGTGTTTTGTTAAAATGCATTTTTTCTTCTTTCACCAGTATCTTTCTTTAAAACAATTATTTATTGCAGGAAAATGTTGGATCTGGCTTGACTGAAGATCAAAACAAAGGGGATCCTGGCAATTCTGAAACTGGAAAGGGTGAGTAGCAAAGTTGATGGCTGTAATAATGTGCATTTTGTGGTTTCTTGGGATTACTTTTGACGAGGATGCCTCAGCCACTGTTTCCTTCTAGCTCATTATATATCTTTTCCTATATAGATTCAACAAATATGGGCGGCCAAGTTGAGCAGAGTTCCCAGACTAAGCATGTTGCTATTGAGACAGAAAGCCATCAAGAGGGTAAGCTTGAAACATGAAGCAATCTGTCTGCTGTTTGTTTTGGGGCATGATCTCACCCTTCGTGCTGTAACATTTTAGGGGAGAGTGCTGCACCTAAGAGGCAAGTCTCTCCCGAAAAGCTCTACCGTGCAGCTTTATTAAGGAGCCGGTTTGCTGACACCATACTTAAAGCTCAAGAGAAAGCCCTTGAAAAGGTTTGTAAAAAGGTGGGGAGTGGGGGGTTGTTAATGTGGTAGTTGAGATTTTAATTTCTCACATTAATGGAACCTGTCTATTGGGTTAAGCGGACATTTGAAAAACTTTAGAATTTGAAGTGTCTAGTTTTTGCATCTTCCCACCAATGGGGCAGTTCTTGTACTGCTAAGGTATATATCATCAAGTCTAGCAATTACCAATTTAACATCATTACCACCTTTCATGAAAGTATTGCTAACATCATTACAAGTTTCGATTAGAAATCTGCTGTGTTAACAATATCTTGATCTTAGGATGAAAAGCGGGACCCTGAAAAACTTAGGATAGAGCGGGAAGATCTTGAAAGGAGGCAGAAGGAAGGTGTGTTTTTCCTTTAAACCTTGTAATATTTGTCCTGTAACAAATATTGCTTCAGGCATCAAGATTTGACTGATATTTATATTTTTGTTTATGGTGCATTAGAGAAAGCTCGATTGCAGGCAGAGGCAAAGGCTGCAGAGGAGGCTCGGAGGAAAGCTGAAGCAGAAGCTGCAGCTGAAGCCAAAAGGAAGAGGGAACTGGAAAGAGAAGCTGCTCGTCAAGCTTTGCAAAAGGTAATATTGAAAGGAAAGCATGTTAGGATGCAAATTCAGCTTCCTTGTATGTTTTACTGAGTAGTTCTGTTTGCAGATGGAGAAAACTGTTGATATCAACGAGGGCAGTCAATTTTTGGAAGATCTAGAGATGCTGAGTGCTGTGCATGATGAACGTATGCTAAGTTTCAAAGAGGAGACAAGCCCAGATCATCCTCAAAATGGATTGGGTAGGATCAAGCTACAGGGAAATCCCTTAGAACAGCTAGGATTGTACATGAAGGCTGATGATGAGGATGAGGAAGAACTGCCTCAGAGTGGTGCTGCTGGGCCATCAAATGATGTGGAAGAAGGAGAAATTGATTGATTTTTTCCCCCTTGATTGTTTCATTATTTTGAACGAATATATAAACGGTGGTCCTGGGCACAGTTGCTGGATTTATGAACGCAGCTTTTTCCAGCTATGGAGTGCAGAGTATAGCAAAGGAGTGAAGAATGGATTTGGTTTTGCTTCTTTCTGATTAAATTTGGTTTTAACTTGGGAAATGGTTTATGAAAATGTGGATAGCAAGGTCGCAGCCCCCATTTATTGAAGAAGGGCTTAGGTATATGGATGGAAAGTTTGTATCAATCAGGATATCCAATTTTGCTTGTAAAATGGAGAACTCATTTGTAACGAGTTCTATGCCTGACCTTAAGTAGTTAGCTTCCCTCACAATGTAAAATATTTTAGAGGCAAGGTAAAATCAATTCTTTCTATTTATTTTCTTGTTCTTTTTTCTTTTTTCTGTCCTGAAGTGCCCTTTTTTCAGTGTCTAGTGGTGTGACGATTCCGTACGCCTGTTATTTTCTAAATGGTGTCAGTTTAAGCTTGGCTCTGAAACGAGTTGAATGTCTCAAATGATGCAAGCATGTGGATAATTTGCCTTCGATTTTCTTGAGTTAAAAGTTTCACTGGATTAAAATTTGAGAAAATAGTCATTTTGGCCCCCTAAGATGAAGGTTAAGGGCTTGGTTGTTTTCTCTTTTTTAAAAAAATGTTTTTTCTTTTCAAAGGTAAAAGGAAAAAAAAACTTGTTAACAATTTTTTTTATATTTTATTTTTAATAAAATAAATAATAAGTTTTGCAGGAACTTGTTTGTTTTGAAAATTTAGTTAACAAATAAGTTTTATTTTTATTTTCTTAAAAATAGTTTTTTATAATTAATTAAAATTAAAATTTTTAGAAATTAAAATTAAAACTTAAAAGACATGGCTATGTTTATCTTTTTAACTTCATTAGGATTAATTTTCTTCAAATGATATGTTGTGGTTCATGTATGGAAGTTTGATTGTTGAGATTGAAACAATGAGCTGTGGTCGAAATATGGGTTCATGCTTGAGTTTGTGGAAGGGGAACGAGGGAGATAACATCATTTTTTATGCTGTGTACGTGAAACTTAGCAAGTTACATATATATTTCAATTAGTGCAAACTGTAAAAGTCATCCTTGTTAATGAAGGACCATAAAGAATATAGGATTATAGATTACCTTAAAATGAATGTAACAAACGAAAATCTTCCCTAATATATCCACACAATATTGAAAATATTTGTACAATAATATATTTAAATATTTTGCTTCATCCGTAAATTTAAAATTGTATGGAGATGAAGATGTAAACTTCTAAAGCGTAATATTGTACATATCACAGAATGTCCTAGATTCTCATTTCATGCAAATCTAAACGGTAGTATCAGTCAACCACGGTTTTTTTTTTTTTTTCCTTTCGTAATTTATGAAGACATCATGCGTATGGCAATTTTCGTAAAACATCACAAAAAACTAGATCGCCATTGGTACACCGCCAAAATTTATGCACATTTCTCAATCCTAACTGTACATTTTACTTTAGCTACACAATAGTGTATTGTAGCATCAATCCTGAAACATGCCCTCCCCTGATATTCCAGAAGACTCAGTCCCATTAACACGAGGCTGATCTGAGAAATTATTACCAAGACTGCTCAGAATGCTGAAGTCAAAGTCATCGTCATCTTCATCCTCATCCTCATCCTCATCTTCAGAATGCTTTGTATCTTCATTGTAAACTTCTTGGTCCTGCTGTCCCTTCGACAGGGCTTCTCTTTCCATCTGTTGCTTGATGCAATCTTCGTACGACATTTCATACCAAACAGTGCCCTTGCCCACAATTCTTTTGTTATGGATATCTGCCATCCGGTCTTGCATGCTCTTCTCGGAATTCTTGGGTTCCCCCCAGTAGTCATAACGATACAGAGGACTTGTAGGATCATATTGGTCATTACCAAAATAACTAGCATCAACATACCTTCCTGGCTCTTCCAATGGTAGATCAAGAGCTTTGCGACTGCATAAAGGGGAGAAATAAAATGTAAAAATCAATGTATCATACAAGAAATTAGGTTGATAACTGTTACACAACAGTACCAGCTGATATCTCTAAGCAATGCTTCTCTTTCCTCAAATGATCTACGCCAATGCATGTAGTCATAGTCATCCATCTCATCATTGCGCCTCAACTTGGTAATTTTGTATTTCTCACCTCTTTCATTTGCTTGCTTCCTTAATTTAGTATGGAGCTTTATACCAAAAGATTACACATTAGATCCCAAAAAGAGAATAAAAAACTACCCTGCATCTCAAACTGAAGATTTTGAATAACAGGTACAGGAACTCCTGAACAATTTGAGAAAATATTAATTATAAAAAAACCAAGAGTCCATACAGTAAATTGAATTTTCAGATTAGGGTACGTTAAGCAATGATATTCTGGTCAAGGTTAAATTGAAAGGAAAACCAGCCCTAGGTATTAAATAGCGTGCTGATCTTCTTGTTCAGTTCTATCTTTTTATTTCTCTCCAGTCTTTTTCTTTTTTTTTTTTCATGCATCATCTTCATCTCTAGAATTTATTTTCTAAATTTTGGACCATTTATATGTACAGCATAATTTCTATAATTTATATTAAAGTTTAAAATAGCAGTCATCCTGCTATGCGCACACCGCTATAGCGTTTTTGGTATTAGCCACTGCTATCCGAGATTGATAACATAGAACCAGCCTTATTACCAATAAATTCATAGCCATGTTTTAAAAGCTCACATTTTGGATAACAGAAAGTAGTGGTAAAGGCAAATCTTACATTAGACTTATAAGAAAAAGGTGCAATGCCATCTAGGAAGTAGATAATTTTGATAAATAACAGGATGTAAATATGGGTATTCAGTAAAAAATTTTTTAGGTGCTTTTCATCATGTTCAACAAAATTAAAGGCATTCTTTAAAATCATAAAAATGGCACATGGGGTAGCCCCCTCTAACCAATATGCACTACCAAATACTAACAATAAAAGAGAAAGGATTTTATCAAAAAGGGAAAGCTTACTTCACGCTCTGCAAGTGCTGCCTCTAAGTCAAGCTCTTTGACACTTGTTTTCTGCCAAAGTGTTAAAACAATATGTGAATAAATCAGCAACCATATAAAAGCAATTTCATAAGTTGTACTCACCAGAATAGTTTTTGGTAGTAATGTATTCTTATAATAAGCTTTTGTATACTGAACAGCATTTTCTTCATTAAAATCCTCTTCATCATCCAACTCTGACATCTTTTTGCCTTTGTATTTATCAGGATTAATCACCATATCATCCAAAATCATTTGCTCAGCTACATTAATTTGCCACAACTGCAAAATATTGGCAGTTGGTGATGGCAATTAAAGACCATCCAACATAAAAGAATTCAAGACATGGTTGTGATAATAGAATTGTGACAACATACAATGCAAAGTATGCCAAGTCACTCATTGAAGGAGGCCACAAGTCTTCCAAGTTTCTAGTTCAGTCTTGCAAGCACACACAATGCTTTCTACATATAAAACTATTATGACACAAACCAAAAGCTGAAACTCAAGTGACAACAAGATCCTGTGGGAACTGCTTGATCCCAGAATTGAATCCTACTAGGTCACACTTTGCCTGCACTAAATTAGCATACCCTCTTCCTCCCCACATTTAGATAAGACCTCCCTAGTAGCTTATATAAACAAATGACTGGAAACTACATGCCTCTAAAATGCCAGGCAGTGGTAAAAGACAATCATACTAATGTGCTTGTAGGATGCCAAGCAGCCTAACATATTACATTTGATTCTAAACACATTCTTTCTTTCAAGGTCAAAAGCAAAAAGGTCAAAATAAAGAAGTGTGTAAGAAGTGGTATTAGTATCACAATGAAATCGTATGTTAATACTCAAAATCCCTAACTCAAAACCACTGAGGCGAGAGTAGAGTGATAGAATGACAGCATACAGAGTTGGCACTTTGAGAGGCCAGTCTCTCCAAAATACAATGATCTCACCTAATGATCTATTCTGGTTCCCCTTTCCTTAATTTACACTACAGATTTCCTACCCTACCTACCTATGTCCCCATGGTTACAGCAGTTATGACTTTTGACAGTTACAATTAGTTTGATTCACTACAGTTACAGACTTACAGCTGTTTTGCTACACTGATTTCCTAGGTAGGTAACCCCAACAGTTAGTGAAATAATTAGTTAGAAAGGTAGTTAGTAGGGGGTTGGATAATTGAAGAAATAAGGCATGTTGAATATAAATAAGATAAAGAGAGCTATCTTATCGTTTGTGAGAAACTTGAAGCCTTTGTCTTGGGAGGTGCAGTCCCTAGAAAAACTGCTGAGTGTGAGTGTTCTATTTTGTAAATTGGGGAGTTTCTCCCTGTATCAATTGGAATCAGACTTCTGATTGGAGCTGTGGGTATTGAATCTTGAAGATTATTTCAATATTTGAAGGAGAGTAGGCTTATTGCTGATTGATCTAGGTTGAGTAGTATTTTGAAGCAATGTGCAAGGAAGAGAGCTAGTGAAGACTCTTAAGAGGTGATACTTGCAATATGTGGCTAACATGGAAATGGCATAAACTGAATCCAACCTAATGGAGGCTTGTGAAGGCATTGGTCAAGAGATTCTAACCAGATTATGATTTTGATTAACTAGTGTGGATATGGGAAGAGGTGCAAATAGAACAGAAGATGAAGATAAGGTTTGAAGAGAACAGAATTAGCGGTTCAAGGGCAAGAAACAAATACAAGAAAACGACAAGAATTGGGAGAAGCTCAACAAAAGCAACTCAACAACATTTTGGACAAAGAAATAAAAAACAGAAGCAAAAGAAAGTTCCGGGATCAAGAACCACTATGGCAAAGATGACAAAGAGATGGGGCCTTTTTGGAGTTGCAAAGAGGAAGGGAAAATTTGAGGGAAGCCCTTTGTTTGGCATGACTGGAGAGCTAAGGAGTGAAACGATAACAAGCATAGAGGCTTTGGGTTTGGGTAGTAGAATCACTAGCTCTGCCAGACTTGCCTAATTCAATTTCTTTCACGAAGTAAGATGGGTCAACAACTACAACCAAATTTTGCGAGGCAAACAAGTTGCACCTACCTACATTGTTGAATTATGGGGTGTATTTGATGGCCAAGGCTACTTCAATGATGGAGATGAAAATAGGAAAGTCGTCGTTCCATAACCAATGAGAAGGGAGATGGACAAGATGGGAGGTTCATGCGACAAGTTTCTTGAACTCCCTTCAACAAAGTTTCAAACATTAAGTCCAAATAGTTAAAGAACTAATGAATTGGTACTTGAATCTCAATCCCTAAGGACTATACTTCAATTGCAATAAATTACTTGTGCCAACCTGGTACAGTGGCCAGTTTAGCAAATACCACTTAAAGCAAGTGTCATCATCAATCTTCTAAGTTCAAATTATATCTTGCATTCAGGGATTTTATGTGAATATTTTAACTGAAGCACATATCTGTACTTCATGGGAACTTGGAAGGTAGTTATTTTGTTATTACCATTGCTTACAGATTCAACTGAAAATCAACCTAAGCACATTTATTTTGATGAAACTATGGGTGGATATGAAACGGGTAGGAAAGACATTGTTCCCTTCACATTTATGCAGCCATGAATAGGGTCTTGTATAGGTTCCTTGAACAAATTAAACCCATGCACACGCAAGGGGTTTGGAACCACAGTGTATTCCAGACAAATGAATTCCAAAAGAGAAAGTTGTCATGACTCATGACCCCCAACCACCTTTGTTATGTATTAATCAATATATTCAAGAATGGAATAAAATTAAACAGAGAAGTATCTAGTGCATGAACTAAGCAGTCCATAACAATTGTTCCTGGCAACTATCTTAAAGAGATGAATTTATCAGATATACCTTTTCAACGTATGGATGGTTAGACAATAGAGATTCTTCCTGTGGCTTGTCTCCTGGATCTTTTCTAGGAACAGGAGGTCTTCCACAGTCACGCTGCAAATTTTAAAATCTCAAATCAAATTCATAACTATCACACTGAAAATGTATTTTGAAAACAAGCCACATTTGACAGTTTCAAATACAAACATGCAACTTTGGAGGGGGAGGGGGTTTGGAGTTGAACCTCAACTAATATTTATTCGTCTCCGACTCTACCGAAAAAGAACTCATGATTTTGTACAAAGTTAAACCATTGTTACCTACTCTTTCAAAAGTATCATTGTATCAACATAATTTACAAATGTTTACAAGAGATAACGTCCAATTCATCAATCCAGCCCTAATCTGCTGTATTAAAATCTAGGTTGTCAATAGTGCAATAGTGCCACAAAAGTGGCATTGCATTGTATCGCAGCAGCTGGCCACTATTCTCACATCATCGCATTGGGTTTTAGTGTCGCAGCATTGCAGCCGCTATAGCGGCAAAAATTGCAGTGTTGCACACACCAGTGTTGCAATGCAGAGGATGATCAATCATTCAAATTTGCCCTAATTTTTTAGTCTTGGTTTGGGGGTATTTTGGAGTTTTCATGTCACAATAAAATGCATTTCAAAAGGGTTCTCAATAGAAGTCACTTCGTTCCTCTTCTAATTTTTGTGCTCTCTAATCTCGGGCCCCGTATTACTATGCAACTCATCAGCCCATTGCTCTTGGATGACTTTCCAGCCACATCCTAGTATTTTCCAGTCAGCACTTGGTGTGTTCTGGTTAACCATGCTCTCTGTTCACTGATACTGCATTTTCGGTCAAGTGCCCTGTTTTCCCTTTTGTTCTCTCTCACTGTCCTGCTGGTTGTTGTTCTCTCCTTTTCCTCTCTTTTATTGCGTTTCGTTGGTTACAGACTTTCTATTTTTATTTTTCTTTTTGTCTGAGTGCTCTCCTCATTCTATTTTTTTGTTCTCTCAAGTCCGAGGGTTTTTTCATCCTGTCTCCCAAAGACCCAGACTTTATTTTGTCTAAGCTCTCTCCTTGCTATTTACTTGAATGGTTTGTTTAAGACTTGTGACTTCCTATTGTCAATTATGAATATGTCATGAATTTTGAATTTTTTTAACTTAAGCATTTATATGTATATAGTACAAATTATGAATGGAGGCTGTCCCGCTATGCACCACTGTGTGAGATTGATAACTGATTAAAATCACAAGTTTTGCAGAATCCATGATTTGTAAATAGTATCATCCAAGCATTAGCCTCTAGTCAGCAACTCAGCATGATTGTAATACCGCACCATGCGAACAGATACTTCCACTGATCCAAACCTCATGAAACTTTCTTGAATTAAATAAAATTAGTTACCGACAGATCCATAGAGAAAAAAAAGATCCATTTGAATGCTTTTATAAAATGAAAGTATGAAAGAGATAACAGCAAAGTTACTGTGAAAAGAGCTTCCATGAATGCAGAATATCTTTTCTTATGCAGCAAGATTTGGGTGGTTTGGCATAACAAGAGGGAAAGGAACAAACCCGTAATTCATCTTCGTTAGTATCTTCATCACGATGAAATATTGGTGGGGAGTCAAATCTGTTAAATCTGAAGTATAAAAATGAAACATTAAATTTAGTCCTTCAATATAATCAAATTAATAAAAAAGATTAAAATATGTACTACTAAGAATGAGTTATAGAAAGTTGAATATCACAAACACATAAATCATACATTAGATGATCTATATTTGGATCAACAAAACGAAGTTCGATAGGAAAACGGAAGCGATAAGGATCTCGCTTTGCCTGTGAAATAAAAATGTAAATAAGTGAACAGAATGGTAAAAGAAATCCATTTATTGAATAAACACAGGAATCATGGAAACTAACACTATAGTGATTATAATTCATTTGATATTCAAATTTGATCAGGAAGCAATGTATGGGTACATCATTTTGTGTACCCTCCACCCTCCCCCAAAAAGGCAGCAAGTGCACTTGAAAGAGAAATTTTACCTTGCATAATACATGTTCAGCTAAATTTTCCATTTCAAAATATGAGCAAAACAAAATGAAGAAAAAAAAGCAGTACTGACACAGACTGCAATTTGATAAGTGGTAGTATAAGCCAAAGCTTCATCTCAATCTTTGAGAGCAATAATATCAAATGAATATTTAGTGACAACTTATGGGAGTGAAATTCTAAACTAGTGACTGAAATACTAACCGTAATTTCAACAATGACGTGCATACCCACTTTTATGTGATGGCGAATCCAATACCAATCATTATTCTTTATAGGAACCCACCTACAACACATTACAGTAGATGAATCTTCCGGAAGAACACTGGCTTAAAAAAATAAAAACATCAAATAGTAACACTGAACAAGATAAAAATGCTACCTAAGCAAATCCTCAAAGTTACTGACGATAACAATGTGAGTATGATGGTAATATGGGCTACATGAAACTGAAGAAAATATATACTAATTCATGGCAGCATATAATAATGTTGACATGTCTTCAATAACCAGGGCAGCCAAACAAATGCATCTCTCTTGTATAAAAGCTTCAAATCCTTTTTTCTCTACCAAAGAACGGATCCAAAATCCAAACATTTAACTAGTCTCAAAATGTGTCTTTTATACTTGTTACTGTCTCTGGCTCTTGATGTCAATAAGAGTATTTCACTGCTACAAATGCTTATGAAATCACTTTTCCCATTTTAGAAAATTCATTTATTAGTTATTTTTGTCCCCTGCAATACTGATTATGTATGCATTAAATAACCTCAAACATTCTAAAAATGTAGCTATTCAATTAGCAAGATTATGATAGTGGAAATAATTCATTATCATCTGAGTATTACTACAGAATTTTAAACAATAAGGAAATTTACACTACACAAAAGATTTGAAGAACACTAAACAGTTATTGATAGCTACCCATCGTGTACACCACCAATGTCAACAAATGCCCCTTGATAGAGATGCAGCATTGTCACCTTCCCTAGACAAATCTGCATGGAAACATCCAAGTATATGAAATTACCTTTCAGACATTTACAAAAACTTGAATCACCATCCCAGACCTCTATTATGAATTATGATAAAGATTACAGGAAAAGAATATTTTGAATTATAAGTATGAATAAGAACAGCATGCTTCAAAATGAATAAGAAGAGCTCAACAGCTTACTTGCCCAGGATAATAAAACGGAAGCTCATACTGCATAAAAATCAACCAAAACACAAAAAGGTAAGTACTAAAACATGTTTTCATTTCATAAGCCTCAATCATAGTAAAATGAAAATACCATCACAAAAACAAAATCCTACCATTCCCTCCTTATAATCCTTGCCTCTTTTCCTTCTACCAGGGTAATAATCTTGGTCTTGCTGTCACACCCACAATCACACCAACATTAGCCACATTCCAAAAAAAGAAACCAAAAACATAACACTGCAAATTACATTAATAAGCAAAACCTTATAAGACTCCTCTTCCAATCTATCCTTATTAGCCTCCACCCACTCCTTATACTGCTTGAGAAACACCTTGTACCTATCCACGCACACATCGTCAGTTTCAGTTCTCACATCATTCGCAACCTCTTCCAAGCTCACTCTCCTCGCCTGCATCTTATGCGCCTCACGAATGAACGCCAATTCCTTCCGATCAACCTCCCAACCTCGAGGCGGCCAATCGCGCGGCGGCACGAGGCGAACCACTAGTGGCCCCGACCACTTCGTCACCAGCGGCTCCGGAATCTCTCCCTTGATCTCGAACTGCTTCGCGTAGTAATCTTCCTCCGTCAATCCCATTTCCTCCATCTTCTTCTTTCGGTACTTAGGGTTTAGCATCTTGAACGCTTCGATGGCTTCGGGAGAACGCAGAGCAACCTCTTCGCCTTCGTTGAGGCTCTTGCGTGCGAAATCGGCCTCCGGTGTGAGGATTTCTTCCCATGGAGCCCAGCCTCGCTCAATCCAGTTGCGTCTTCGAGCTTCGTCTTCGGTTTCCTTGTCTTTGGGGCCGAATGTGTCGAGGAAGGTGTCGTCGACGGGGAACTCGTCGGAGCTGAAGGCCTTGGCGACGACGGAGAGAGAGTGGTGGTGGCGGCGGAAGAGAAGTGGCGAAAGACGAGGGTGAAGGTGGGAATGCGGAGAGGAAGGGTTTAAAGGTTTAGGGAAAGTAAAGAGATAAGAGGTTTGAAGGACTTGCATGGCTGTAGCAACCCAGCTTGCTTCTCAACACAAGTCCGGTCTTTGTTCTGTTCAGACTTCAGACTACACATTGAGCGGATAATTTTTTTGTAATTTTAAAATAAATAAATAAATAAACAAAAATATATAAATATAGAATTACCAAAAAAAATTAAAAATAACGAATTGTTTCCTTCGCTCAATTTTATGCCTTCATGTTGAAACCGAGTCTGAAACTTAGACATTATTTAATATTTATGAATATTTTATTTATTTAAAATGATATATGCTTTAATATTAAAATAGTATTATATGACAATTATTAAAATCATATTTTATAAAAAAAATAGAAAAATAATTTTTCAATATTTTTTTGGTAAAAATTTTTTTTTCACTTTAAAAACATTTACAAAATATATAACAACGTAACTCAAATTTAAGTCAATTTTTAAAGAAAAAGGCTAACATAAAAATAGATAAAATTATTTTTATAAATTAAAAAATATATTTCTTTAAATTTTAGAAAAGTTAAATTAATTTTTTAAAAAATAGAAAATATTAAGGAAAATTAATAAATTTTGTCTAATAAATTTAAGGTTAATTTTAATTTATTTAACTTTTTATTTAATTTAATTTTTTATTTCTATTTTCATATAAGCTAGTTAATTATTTAATTTAAACATCGTTAAATCTCGTTCAAAATTAGTTTATTCTTTTAGTAATTATTAAAATTAACAAAAGATTTGTAAATATTACTTCCTCAATTTTATTTTATAAGAATCAAAAGATTAAATTATCATAACTAAAGAAAATAATTAAATCAATTATATTTTTTATACATATAAATTTTATTTCAAAAATATTTATGACATTAAATAGTGTAATTAGTAATTTATATATTTAATGATACTAATAAAATAAAAATAAAAAAATATTAATAATTAATACATATTAAATCTATCATTTATTTTTTATAATAAAGATGAAAAAAAATACTTCATTTCAATTTTTATAAAAAAGACAGAAGGAACTATATTACAACTAAGTTATCAAAATTTGTGTGATTTTATAAATTAAAATAAGATATTAAAGTTTGAACATTAAAAATCTTTTATTAAATCTCAATTTAAACTTTTACTATTTTAATTTTTTTTTTCAATAATTATTAAAATTGATGGAAAATTTTTCTTTTTAACATATAAATATTTTGCATGATTTTATAGGCTAAAATGAGATATTAAACTAAATTATTCTTCCTAATCTAAAATGAGATATTAAATTAAATTATTTTTCACAATCTAATTTTAAGCACTAAATCTCAATATTTTATCCTTGATCAACTCTTTTTCTTATCATGTTAATTAACATGTGATGTTTATCATAAAATTTTATTGTAATTTATAACTTTTATATTAAAAATTAAATAAGTCAAGAACACCAAATTCAATATTTATAAAAGTCATTTTTAATGAAATTTAATGCCATTATAATGAAAAATATATTAATTTGATAAAAATAAAAAAAATAAATCATGTAAAAAATAATAATGGATGAAGATAAAATTTGAAAACTAAACTTAAATATAGAAATATTAATTATGTCTAAAATAAGAGTATTAAAAAATAAACTTATTGCACACATTCTATCACTATTTCATATATTTAAATACAACTTTGACATATTTTTATAATTTGTCATTAATCTTTATAGTTTTATTACCTTTTTCAAAAAGATAAAATTATTTATTCATAAATAATTTAAAAACACTCACAAGAAAATAAATAATAATTTTCAAAGAATAATACAACAATGTTCAAATACACGTTAGAGCATGTCATTTAAAATAAATAAATAAATAATAAAAATTAAATAAAACAAAATAAATTTTTTAACCATGCCATCTTTATCATCAAAATCAAATCATTCACTCTAGGCATAGCATTTTTCTAAATTTTTGTTGTTATTTGATTCAATTGATATGCTAACACAACAATAAAAGCTTTATAATAAACTAACAAAAATAGATATTAAAAAACACCAATTGAGGTACTTCTATCATAAATGAGTCAACAACAATTTTAAAACAAAAATAAAAAGAGAAAAGACAGTATAGTTAAAAAAAAAAATTATGAGTTGACTAAGAAAGAGAAAATTGAGAGAGGGATGTGGTAGTACAAAGAAGAACTAAGTTTGAGAAAATGGAAGAAAGAAAAAGAGAAGAAGAAAAATCTCATAGAAAAGAAGAAAAAACTCATTTATAATGCATAAAAACTTTTCATAAGGTATCATCAAACATTGCTTCTTAATTTTATTGCATTTTGAGTTTGGTCTTTTGTCTTTGTCAATCTATCAAACATATTTCTTCATCCATTACCGTTACCATTCTAGGCAATGAATAACATTATTAACAAAAATAATACCATAGCCTATCAAACGAGCATCATAACTATGTATATTTTATACCAAGTTTTTATTTTCTTAATTATATTCTATTACCCACTTATGATAATTTTTTGCATTGTCAAAACGTAGAGGATCCATCCATCGAAAGTATTGATAAGATTAAGATTCCTACTATCAATGATGCATATTAGTGAATATTCTTTATTATCTTTATATAATATTTTTTTATGAGAAATATTTATGTCAATTCAATTAATTTGCTTTCACTCTATATTGAATTTTAGGTTTTAAACAGAAATATTTTGAAATCTATTAAATCATAAACAAGGAGTAGTTATTCTATTTTAGCTTATTTTCTTCTATTCTTATTATAGAATCACTATTTTGTATATCAAAAAGTGGCACAAATAACTAATATTTATCAAATTTAGGAACAAAAATGAAAATTGTTGAACTTATAGACTAAATTGGATAAGAGTGGAAATGTGGGCTTGGATTATAAAGGAAAGGCCCAAGGTGTGGAGAATGTGTGTAATGAGAAATCAAGATAAAGGGAGATAAGATGAGGTGGCATAAGTTGTAACAAAATTGCCAAATAGTAAGGAATTAAGATTTGGTATATCCAGGGGATGATTAAGAAAGAAAAAGGGATCTAGTTTTGTAGGAAAATTTTGTTATGGGCAAAGAGGCTACTGCCCTTTGAAGGAGTTGTGCTCTATGACAGTGGGATTGTATTTCCTTCTATATTTTTTTTTTACAACAAATAATATAATTATTCTGAGATCATTTCTATCATTTCTATTGTTTATTTTCTGGATTCTAACAATTTGGTCTGACTTGTTGGATATGAGATTGGAAAGAGTAGAGCCAGTGGATGCCACCAAGGAAGATGGAAGCAAAGATTGTAGCCCTGGAGACACATAAGTCATTGGACTCAAGACAGCCCTGCAAACTATACAGCTCAAGTCTAACAAAAATTATGCAAAGCTCTCGTAGAGATGTTCTCCAACACCAGTGGAATTTCAAACAAAGAAGGATCCATTAACCAAGAGATACTGCACTGCTGCGATGAACCATTGGCAAAATTCTGTCAATCAATCAAGAAAGTTGAGTTGCCAATGTTTGATAATGAAGATCCTGTAGGATGGATTGTTAAAGTAAATGTGTATTTTAAGGTCCAAGGCACCCCACCAAAGATGAAGGTGAATCTAGCCTGCGTCTGTATAAAGGGGTCTACGATTCATTTTTTTAAATCCCTTCTTGATGAACACAATTGTTTGATGTGCGAGTAATCAAGAGTGAGCTATTGGAACGCTATCGTGGCATTGGTGAGACAGATATATTTGAAAGGTTGGCTGCGATCCACCAAGATGGCAATGTTGAGGAGTATATCACGAAATTTGAACATCTCACAGCTCAGGTGCCACATTTACCCGATGATCAATACTTTGGGTACTTTGTGCATGGATTGAAGAATGGAATCAAAGGACGTGTGTAAAGTCTACGCACGTTGGGGCCTTTGCCACATTCACGAATGATGAATTTAACAAGGGCGGTCCAAATAGAATTACGAGAAAAGAAATGAGGATGGATAGGATCATGTCCTATTGAGGCATGTAGAGGTTTTGGAGTGGGCCAAGTGACTTAGGTAAGCCCGTCATATTCCTCCACTTATAGGTCGGCTCATGGGTCAGGGTTGGATTATGGCCAAATCATAGTTGTTAATAGTGCGTTATAGCGGCACTATCACTCTAGCACGACGGTCGGCCACTACTGCAACCACATCGCGGAGCATTTTTGTAGTTGCACAAGTTGCGGGAAATAGTGCCCATAACATGCAGTGTTCGTGTGTCTATCGCAATTTGGAGAAGAGAAAGAAACTAACCTAATAGGTTAGTAAAACTGTGCGTTTTGAATAAAATATATTCTGTTTTTCAAAACTCTGCTTTTTGTTTATTTTTAAGGGTAAAAATATCATTTGCACCCTTTCAAAACTTATAAATCTAATACGAATGAACTCCATCTTCCATCTTCTTCATCTCTACACCACTGCGCAGCAACAAAAGTTGCGATTTCTACCTTTCTCTCCTCTATCTAGCTTAGCCATTCAATTTCGCCGGCCAAATAAGCTTTTCTGATGTATCCTCTCTAGCATCTCCTCTCCAGTGTCTCTGTTCACCAGAGTAATCAAATTTTCCAGCCCATCTCCCCGTGTTTTTCGTTCACTGCAGCAAGCTCCTTTTTTTGTTCATGCTCTGCTAGTGTTCAAGTTCTAGTTTCTGTTCGCACTCTCCCTCCCTATTCATGATTGTATGCCATGTTTTGTGGAAGGAGATAAAGCTTTGTTTTCTTTGGTTATACTTTGTTTTTCTAGTCAAGACTTCAAGCCTTGCTTTTTTGCTCATCCTTTCTACCTTGGTATTGAAACTATGTTTTGTTGTTCATGGTTTAGATTTTTTCTTTCACTCTGTTGTTCATGCCCTCTTTTGCTGAAAGAGATTTATCTGCACACCTCTTACTTGGAAAGAAAACAACCTATGATCTTTACTGTTCTAGACTTCTAGTCCCATTCCATGGCATCTTTGTGATAAGGACAAAAGCAAGGAGCTATTGCAATTGCTACTTATGGCTTAATGAAGCTCACCAAAGAAAATATTGACATTGTTTGGCAATCGAATAGCCTTAAAGATATTAACAATAAAAAGAGTATTACACGTGAC